ATGTTTTAGGAGTTGGCCCATGCAATGTTTCAAGGCATTCTACGATGGTGTTTTGCACATTCAGTCTATTTAGCAACATCTAAGGAATTGTGTGGGTGAAGTAAAGGATTCCTATTTCTTCTTCTTCTTCTTCTTCCTCTTCTTCAGAATGCTCAGGAGCAACCAAATTAGCTGTGTGAGCAATGACAGCTTTACCGGTTTGAGTTCCGTCCGACTGCTCTCCTTATACGACAATCAGATCACCACCGTAGCTCCTGGTGCCTTCGACACCCTTCATTCTCTCTCCACGCTGTAAGTTGGTTTCTGTTAATAGAAAGATTCGCTCAATAAGTTACAGTTAATCGGACCTATTGATAACACATTAGAAAGCATGACATTCAGAACATTGATAGCTGATAGGAACATAGAGAGGGTCGCAGTGGGTTTCACTTGAAAAGTTGCTCTTAAGGGCTGAATTTTGGGGCTGGAAGCTGCAACAATTCTACTGTAACAGTCACAAACCAGCCTGCAGTCGATGAAGAACGGGACAACTGAAAATCAATCTTATTTGGTTTAAGAAGAGAAGCGGAATAACATAAGAACAGAATTGGAAGGGAGCTTGAAGGTCATCTAATCTAACCCGCTGCTCAGGCAGGAAACTCTATACCATTTCAGATAAATGGTTGTCCAATCTCTTCTTAAAAACCTCCAGTGATGGGGCACCAGAGGTGGGATTCAGCCGGTTCAGACCGGTTCTAGAGAACCGGTAGTGGAAATTTGGAGTAGTTCAGAAAACCAGCCAATCCCACCTCTGACTGGCCCCGCCAACCCCATCTAGTCTCTGCCTCCCATTGAGTCCCAGCTGATTGGCTGGGTCTTCTTTGGTTGCCCTGCACAGGAGAACGGAGTTGGAAAGCAGGTTAGTGGAGTGGGGAGAGAATGGAGATTTTGCAGTATCCTTCCCCTGCCACGCCCACCAAGCCACGCCCACCAAGCCATGCTTACAGAACTGGTAGTAAAAAAATTTGAATCCCACCACAGGGGCACCCACAACTTCTGGAAGCAACTTCTGTTCCACTGGTTGATTGTCCTCACCATTAGGAAGTTTCTCCTTAATTCCAGGTTGCTTCTCTCCTTGATGAGCTTCCATCCATTGCTTCTTGTCCTCCTTCTGGTGCTTTGGAGAATAGCTTGAGCCCCTTCACTTTGGGGTAGCCCTTCAAATATTGTAAGAATGCTATCATGTCACCCTAGTTCTTCCTTTTGTTAAACTAGACATACCCAATTCCTGCAACCGTTCTTCATATATTTTAGCCTCCAGGCCCCCATAATCATCATTATTGTCTTTTAAACATATTCAATAACCAAGCCTGTGCAGGTCTAAACCATGAGTCAAACTTACTCCTGGTTTTTTTTTTAAAAAAAAGGTTGGATTCTATATGGATATATTTGAAATGTCCTTTTTCCAGAAGCACCTGGTCTTGAAATTGTTTTATTTGTACTGGAAGAAAAGCCAAATTAATGGGAAATGGGGAAGAAGGAGAAAATGCTATATTTAAAAATGCAAGTTTCTGGGGTAGGAATTCCTGAGACACGTAATTGCCAACGTATTTAATTCTCTTGAAACGTGACATGTTATACCTGAAGACTTAATTCGTGCCTATTTAAGATGGCATGTTTATAAATAATGAAATTGTCAAAGGTCTCTCCTGAAACATGGACATGCCAGAAGCCCCGAGATTTCTGCAGGCAAATTCATTTTATAAGTGACATGTAATCAACTCAGCTGTCAGTTTAGATGGGAAAGCCATTCTCTGGCGCAAATAAAGGATGGAAATCTTGAAGAGACAAATTAATGAAAGAACAATTGTCAGGTTAAGTTTAATAATACAAGGCAATCGGCCTTCATCTCTATGTTAAATTACTATATTATCAGGCGTAGACAGTCTGACAGCAAGTCCGATCTGTGACATCTTTAAATTGTTTTTAAATAATTTCTAAGCTCTGAGGCAGAACTGGCTATCCTGGGCAGAATGTTTGGAGAAGGGGGAATTGGGGTAGACACAGGTGTTTTGATGCCAGAGTGAAGGTGTTTTCTGTTGTTAGTGAGAAGGCCTCAACCCAGGTTTTGAGGTGGTCGTTTTGGAGTAAGTTTGAGTTTGATTGGATAGATGGAAAACTTTCCAAATTGTAAGAAGAGATATTGAAGGGACCAATGAGAACCTGGGCAAGGAACATAGGTCATAATATAAAATCAGAGGATTGGGAAAGGACATGGACCAAAAACTGCAAATTAACATTGTCAACAGCATACAAAGAAAATCAGTACAAAATGTTCTACAGATGGCATTTTAGCCCCAGCGAGATTGGCCAAAATATATCCGAAATATATATATATAATATTATATATATAATATTATATATTATATAAAATATATATATTACAAAATCAGAATGTTGGAAATATAAACAAAAGGAGGGAACATTTTTTCACATGTGGTGGCAATGCCCAAAAGCTAGAAAATCTTGGATGAAGATATAAAGATGGTTACAAGAAATTACAGAACACCAAATAGAATTTAAACCTGAAATATATTTATTAGGAATAATTAAGGGAAAATTTAGCAAACAAATCCAATACATCATTCTACACATAATAATGGTGTCAAGGATAGTTTTTGCACAGGGCTGGAAAACAGAAAAGATACCATCCGAAGAGAACCTGATACAAAAAATACCGAACTGTGTGGAGATGGATAAACTCACAGAGCAGAATTAAAAGGCAAAGACAAATCGGAATATTACGCGGTTTGGGATTGATGGTATAAATGGGTAGAACACAGAAATAAGAATTAATGTGTAGGAATAAATGTAAATATATGTATTATTAATGACACAATTCTGTTACCAATGTAAATAGAGATATGCAATTTGTTAAATAAATAAATAAATATTAAAAAAGGAGGTGGGGGAGGAAAACTTTCCAAATTGTACAAAGGACAAAGAAGCAAAGCAATCATATTTTTATTTCTCTTACCGAAAATAAACAAAGACTATCAGCCACATTTTTTAAAAAAAAAAAAATGAAAGAACTTCCATTGTTGTGGATGTCTTAATGGTTTCCTTTCTTGGCAACTAATTCTGGGTGTGGTTGTGTGTTGCCCGTGCAGAAACCTCCTGGCCAACCCCTTCAATTGCAACTGCCATTTAGCGTGGTTGGGGGAGTGGTTGCGGAAGAAACGCATCGTGACGGGCAACCCTCGCTGCCAGAAGCCGTACTTCCTCAAGGAGATCCCCATCCAGGATGTCGCCATCCAAGATTTCACCTGTGAAGATGGTAAGGCAGGCGGTTCCCTGGGCTCAGCCAAGTCTGGGCATCCCATCCCTCCGTTACTACAGAGTCTCTTAAAATCCGTGAGCAGCTCTGCCACCTGCTGCCTCCTCCAAGGAGTTACTACTCCACTCTAAATAACTTCAGTGAAAGTCTGCGGAGATTCTCAGTCATCCAGGTCATAGAACAGAATTCTGGGAGTTGAAGTCCCCAAGTCTTAAAGTTGCCAAGTTTGGGGACTCCTGCACTAAACAAACTGTTGTAAGTTGAGGATTTCCTCCATTCATTTGGATGACTTTAACCTCGAGTTGAGCAATGGGCAGTAACAAGATCTGTAGGCTGAACAACTGGCCCTTTTCCAGTTTCTACTAATTGGCTTCTTCCTGGGAAAATTGGGTCACGAATAACCATAGATTGTTTTACAATATGTTGGGCTCCAGCTGCAGTCCTGTTTTCTCTGTTAATTGCATATAAACCCATTAAATTCAGAGGGAGGGGGAGACAAGAGAAAGTACTTCAGGGATCCTTCTGAAATAAGAAAGGTGAATTTTCTTCATTTCATGCGGAGCGTAAAATGGATATATGTGTCAGGAGATGCCAAGACTTGAATCAGTTCTAACCTGGTTTCCATCCAGATTAAGGAGACCATCAGAGGTGGACTCTGATTTTCTCAAGTAATGCAAAAATCCTCCTGGAACTTAGGATCACTCTGCTGAATCTACCTGTATGGAACTGTTTTGAGATCTTCAGATACAAAAGAAGAGCCACTAAATATTGGTGAATCATGGTGGTTCCCATTTTATTTTGTCACAACCCTTAAGTTCCTACTAGTAGTTGTAAAGAAATTCTTCATGATATAGGCCAGAAGTAAGCAACTCTGGCTCAATTATGACCTGTGGACTTAATTAGGACTTCAGAGAGATTTCTCTTGTTTCTTATCATTTTCTAACATAAGTATTTCCCCCCCAGGAATCTGGTTTTTTCAGCCCTTCAGAAGATAAGAATCAAGGATAGAAAAATGCAACTATCTTGTGTTGCATTTATATGTGGATTTGTCCATGACATTTGTTGTATAATTGCAGTGGTACAATGACACTTGTAGCAAAAATGCTCAAAACAACACTGTTTCCTTTTCTATGAATAATTAACTACAAGTAGATTTATTTTTCTTCAGCTGTTACCCTTCTGTTGCTATATTGCATGATGTCCTGATCCAAAAATGAACAAGAGCAATTTGTGATATAGAAATGGAACTGCAAGCTATTCAAAAACCAGGAAAAAATAATAATTTTAGATCCAGTGGTCTTGTACTTCTACTCTCTTTGGCCAGACTGTATTTTCTTTCTGCCTTTTTTCCCCTTTTTATGCGCTTTTCCTTCTTCTGCTGTGTTTCATTTTAGAGAGAGAGTTATTGTAATAACACAGAATGATTATTATGCTTATAATGTTTATGCAGTACTCCAGTTACTCTAGCAACAGAAATGTTGTCATCTTCCACTTCCTAAGAAACTATTAGATGGATAATGGAAATGTATTCTTGAAGGTATAATAGAAACATGTCCTTGAAGATACAATCGGAGGTATAATGGCTTCAAAATGTCTTTGGAGTGGCACACTAACAGACATCTCATCCTCTATATTAGGTGCCCTTAGTCGAATAAAGCTTATTTATTTTATTTTTACAGTTTTTTAAAAATTTCATTTCCAAAAATGAAATACAAAGTAAAGGAAAAAAGGAGAAACAAACCATAAAACTCTAATGATAAAAATATAAAAGTGAACAAATAAAAAGTAACAGATGACAAATATACAGTATCATTCACACCGATATTAAACATTAAGAAATCTGTTCTGGTTGAATGCTGCTGTTTTATTTTGAGTAAGACAAATAGTTATTCAATCTCTTCTTGAAAACTTCCAGTGATGGAGCAGCCACAACTTCTGGAGGTAAGCTCCTCCATTGGTTAATTGTCCTCCCTGTTGGGAATTTCTCCTTAATTCCAGGTTGCTTCTCTCCATGATTAGTTTCCACCAATTGCTTCTTGTCTTGCCTTCAAATACTTTGGCGAATCTCAACTCCCTCTTCTTTGTGGCAGCCCCTGAGATAATGGAACACTGCTATCATGTCACCCCTTGTTGCATTGCATTGCATTGCATTTTTTAAATTATTCTATTGGCTGCCCATCTGACCGCAGGGTAACTCTTATTTTATTTTATATTTTAATTAGGGAATGATGACAACAGTTGCTCTCCCCTGTCCCGCTGTCCTGCCGAATGCACGTGCCTAGATACTGTGGTTCGTTGCAGTAATAAGGGCCTGAAAGCCTTACCTAAAGGCATTCCAAAAGAAGTGAGCGAACTGTAAGTAACACCTTTAAAACAACCTCTTGTTTTGTGCGAAGCGTGCGCTCACTGAACCGGTTGTTACACCGGGTGAATCGCATCACCACACCCTGATATATAAATACATATAAATATTAATCCCTCTTGAATACATTGTGGAAGGAGGAACCCTGAGAGTTGACAAGGTCAATACTGTAGGGAACTGGAGTAGCATTGCTTGCAAAGTAGAGGTTAAACTTTGCTGTCGCCACTGTATTCTGCAGTTGGCCTATTATGGTTCTCCTTTGGGCTTCACCCTTGGATTTTAGAATGGTGAAATAAACTCTTCATGATTTCAGCTAAATAATACACATCTTTCTTTTCATAGCTATTTAGATGGAAACCAGTTCACCCTCGTTCCCAAAGAATTGTCAAACTACAAGCACTTAACTCTGATGTAAGTAATTTTGAGAGCATTTCTCTACGCTGGTATCATTTCTGAACTTTCATTTTGTGCTGTACTAACTCTGTACCCGTGCTTCGCTACGAAACTATGTGATTCGGGCTTAGTTTGGGGGGAGGAAAATACGGAAAAAAAAATTGTGCCTCTGCCTACCAGCATCCATGGGTATTCATCTGGCTAGCATCCTGTGAGTGTGTGAGAGAGTTGAGGGCTGTTTGGAAACCGAAGCAGTATTTGCTGTGTGAGCAAGAAGGAGACAGCAAGGAGCCTGGGCGTGGCTTAGCTCAACTGTTCTGTACTAAAGCTGCTTGGTGCTCTGAAACTGGAACTGAAACTGAAACTCCTCTCCTCTGCTTGTGTTTTTCATTTGGAAGAGATTTCTTTCCAGGTGGGGAGGGGGAGTAGAACTCCTTAGCATCAGAGCATGTTAATAATAATAATATAGGAAATACTCTAAATGCTCTGATGGTCATTTGGAAAAATCCTTTCTTAGTGAGCCCCTAGAAGCCAAGAGGAGCATACGTGCCAAATGTCAAGTTTGTAGGCTTTACGGTTCTGGAGATTTTGTGATGAAGCGTGAGGGGCATTTCACTTTTATATAGAGGGGTTTTGGAACAGGTCTGCTTTTTGATCTAACCATCATGTCTGAGGTTTTTTTTTTAGGAAATGTAGAAGCAGAATCTCTTGTAACTCCAAAAAAGACCTGTTTGCCATTGGTGAGATGAGGTGTAGCATAAATGAAGGATATGAAAAGAAATTGGTTTAGTTTCTTTGGTATGGGATTTTTTGCAGCAGTAGATGGTGATGTAGAGAAAAATCAAAGGATTATTAAAACATATTTTTTTAAGTCAGTAGATTTAAACATTAAGCGTGTTTGTTTCAACATGATAGCTATGCTTGCATTGAAAAAGGCAAGGGCCAATCTGTGTTGATAAGAGATCTCTCACAAGGCAGTATGTATGCATAAAGTATTGGTATATCTTTGCATTTTTGTAAAAAAAAAAAAAATTGAATGTATGCATCCTTTAAAAGACGGCAATGACTTGTTTCGATTTTAAAAAGCACACGTTGCATATCTTCTTTAATACAAAGACACAGCCAGGAATTTATTTAAATATATAGAGAGAATGAGGTATGTATTCAAATAAACGCTTTTCATTTAATGTGATTATACATAAGTTCCAATTATTTTTGTTCTTATGTTCCACTGGTGCTCTTGTTCAGTTTGTATGATCTTGTTTATAATTGCAAATCGAAAACTTATGGGGTCTTCTGCTACAGACAATACGGTAAACCAAATGGCATTTAAAATAAGGTTCTAATAATTTGCCTTTATCGATAAAAACGTTACGGTTCAGATTTTTTTATATCCATGTTATAACACAGAAGATTTCTAAATCTGATGTGTTGCTTTTTTGTAGAGATTTAAGCAACAACAGAATCAGTACTCTTTCAAACCAGAGTTTCAGCAACATGACGCAGCTACTCACTGTGTAAGTGGTTTTTTTTTCTCCTTTCAATAAAGCAATAAGCTTTACTAATTTACTCCTTAGATTTTATTATGTTATCATTGCAACTGAAAGAGAAAAGAAGTTAAAGAAGAGCTTCATCCAATAAAATGTACCATCAGAGGGTGTTGTCATAAAAAGAAATCTTAGACTGTGCAGAGATGGACAGGCTAACAATGAAATTAAGAGATAAAGAAGAGTCGATATATTATAATGTCTGGGATACCTAGTATGAATGGTTTAAGAATAAAAAGAAATCAAAATGTTAATTAGGTAAAGAATAAGAAACTATGTAAATACCTATACCTATATCCATATCTATTTATATTTATCTGTATATCAATTTGAAATTGAATAATGAAAGAAATGTGTAATGGTAATGGAGTTGTAAAGTATGTACACACACACACACACACACACACACACACATATAGATGATAAGGGAATGTAAAAGATGTCTTAATGTTGGTATAATGATGGATAAAGTTTTATTTTATGTTTCTAAATTTTGAAAATTGATTAAAGTATTTAAAAAGAAGAAGAAGAGCTTCATCCCTGGAAGCTTTCAAGAAGAGACTGGAGAGCCATCTGTCAGAAATGGGCTAGGCAGGGTCTCCTGCTTGGACCGGGGGAGGGGGTTTGGACTAGATGACCTCCAAGGTCCCTCCCAACTTGTTAATCTGCTAAAGAATGGTCCTGAGAGGAGGGGTCTATTTAGACCTCACTTAGAACTTAGATTCAGAAGGATTTTGACAGATTTGACCATCTCTAGGGCCAGCCTAGAGAAAAGAAGGACTAGGAGGGATATGATCACAGGCTTCCAGTATTTGAGGGGCTGCCACAAGAAAGGGTGGGGGTCAACTTATTTTCCAAAGGCAAGATAAGTGGGGTTAGACTAGAAGACCTCCAAGTGTCCCTTGCAAGGATTCTGTGTGATTCTGTGTAACGCCTGATTGCCTTACATTGTTTAGAAATCAATATTTTCTATACTTTCAGAATTCTCAGTTACAATCGGCTCAGATGTATTCCAACACGGACTTTTGATGGCTTGAAATCACTTAGGCTGCTGTAAGTAATATTCCTGCCCTTGCTTTTCTGTGTAGTAGCTTATTTATTTTTTCACATGTCTGAACTTCCCAGCTCCCTCAAAGGAGGACTCTGGTTAGTGTACAATTTGCTTCAAGCTCAACCTTTCTGTGACTTTGGGATGTAATTTCCAATTTGGTTTTTATCCCATAGGCCAGGGGTCTCCAAACTTGGCAACTTTAAGATGTGTGGACTTGTACTCCTAGAATTCTCCAGCCAGCATGGCTGCCTGAGGAATTCTGGGCATTGAAGTCCACACGTCTTAAAGTTGCCAAGTTTGGAGACCTCTGCCATGGACTCTTGTAACATAAATGGCAAAATCTGGGGTAAAATGTATTTGTATTTATTTTCTACTGCCATTGTAGCTGCTTACAATAGGTAGTAGCCTAGCTCATCCAGGCAGATCTCCAAAAACTAAGCATCGTTGGCCCTTGTGAGTATTTAGATGGGATGTCCCTGGGTTGGTGGACCAACTGAGAGTCAAAAATATCCAGAGAAATGCAGGGGTAGATACTTGTATGTTGTTTCCAACATGGATGTGTTCATGAAGTCAACAGGTTTACTTTCACTTTGCACAAAAACTGCTTAGTAACCCCTGGACTCATTTCCTATTTTGTACTTTATGTGTGCTTACAAGAAACCATGATTGTGTCATGAATGCTCCACTATCTGCATTCGGATAATGTTTGTGGTGCCTTTGGTGAGTTGGAGAGGGCATGCTTGAAAAAAAAATTAAACAATGCTACAACACAACTTCTTAAAGTTGAATCACTTTGAATCACATTGCTCTGCATAGAACAAAACAGGATAGGATAGGATAGGATAGGATAGTTGGAAGGGACCTTGGAGGTCTTCTAGTCCAACCCCCTGCCTAGGCAGGAAACCCTAAACCTCTCCAGACAAGTGGTTATCCAACATCTTTTTAAAAACTCCAAGTGTTGGAGAATTCACAACTTCTGGAGGCAAGTTGTTCCATTGGTTAATTGTTCTGTCAGGAACAATGTCTACGCTCAAAATAAAATTACAGTCTTGCAGCTGCATTTCTGAAGAAGCTGCGTACTCTAAGTTCAGTAAACTTCAAGGACTTTATCATGGTCATCATCTGGGTTTCTTTTTTTTTTTTGCAGCTTCAGATCAGTCATTCTAAAATGCAAAAAATTAAAACATAAATACCTACTAAAAGAATCCATACGATTCAACACAAATAAATTGGGTTCTGGAGTCTCTACAAATAGCGCACAAAGGGAGAAAGTAGCACGCAATAAACTGAGAAGACTCCAGCTCTTTGAACGAGAGTCTCTTTTGAATTGCTGGATAGAGAGAAGGAGGACTTTCTTCTAATCTGCTTCCCTATTTATTTCTTGTTTAGGTCGTTACATGGGAATGACATCTCTCTTCTTCCTGAAGGTGCTTTTAATGATCTTTCCGCATTATCTCATCTGTGAGTATTTGGTTCCTGTTTACAATAAGGTTCTGAATTAGAATATCATATATTAGCTACCAGCTGGATACCTGTGCTTCGCTACAAAACTATGTGGTCGGGCTTAGTTTTGGGGGAGGAAAATAAGGGGGGGGAATTATGCCTCTGCCTACCAGCCTCCATCAGTATTCATCTGGCTAGCATCCTGTGAGTGTGTGAGAGAATTGAGGGCTGTTTAGAAATTGAAACAGTATTTGCTGTGTGAGCAAGAAGGAGACAGCAAGGAGCCTGGGCATGGCTTAGCTCAACTGTTCTGTCCTAAAGCTGCTTGGTGCTCTGAAACTAAAACTGAAACTGAAATTCCTCTGCTTGTGTTTTGCCTTTGGAAGAGATTTCTTTTCAGGTGGGGAGGGGGAGTAGATCTCCTTAGCATCAGATAATAATAATAATAATAATAATAATAATAATAATAATAATAATAATAATAATAATAATAATAATGGAAATACTCTAAATGCTCTGATGGTCATTTTGAAAAATCCTTCCTTAGGGAGCCCCTAGAAGCCAAGAGGAACATACGTGCCCAATTTCAAGTTTGTAGGCTTGATGGTTCTAGAGATTTTGTGATGATGCATGAGGGGCATTTTACTTTTATATATACAGAAGATTGGACCATTGACTGAGATTCCCACCATAACCTCAAATACTGCTCAGGCAAAATGGGGGTTGCTGTGTCCTTAACACCATGCATAAAAGATGCTTTTAGCGGTGTGATTGTGCAGGAGATGGATTTCTCTGCCCTGAGAATTATTTAGTGATTTAATCGGCTGCAGCTGAACACCCAAATAATACAGTGAGCAAAGCATTCACACTCCATTAAATGGAAGAGATTCATTCTGGAGATAATAAAGTTCTAATGGGTAATGGACCATGGAGAGCTACCTGGTTGTCTTTTGTCCTTGGTGAAAGCAGGCAGATAAGGATTTATCTGTCCAAATATAATTTTTAACAGGGCAACTCTGTTTGGACCTGACCCGAGGTAACCTCGACTACCTATGTAGTGAGAGACACCCACCCAGTCGTGCCTTCTAGCTAAGAGGAAGCATGTCTGAACCCTTCAACACATTAGCAAACACCCATGAAAGGGAGACAGGCATGTGCAGGAAAGCAGAAACATTTGTTGATGATTTGTGCTTCTGCCCTCAGTGCCCATGGATTCATTTGTAAGGCCTCCTTCCAGTTTCTTCTCTGAGAGGTGAAGGCAATCTACATAGCACCAGAGGTAAAATGCTGCCAGTTCAGACTGGTTCACCTGAACCGGTAGTAAAAAAAAAGATGCTACCGGTTTGGCTGATCCGGTATTTCCGATGATCAGCTGGGTGACGATTAACTGTGTCGCACAATTTAGATTAGCTGGAAAACAGGAAATCATCGAATTTCTTGCTTTCTAACTAATCTAAATTGCGTGACGTAGCTGATTCCCCCTCCCTCGCTGTTGCACTTATCTTGGAAGGCTTCAAAAATGTTTTTTTTTCTCAGCACCTGAGGCCTAGTAGGCCAAAAATGGGCTGCGGGGAGGGGGTGTGTGCTGTGAAAGAAAAAAGAAAAGAAGACTTTTGACCCCCGTCACATGACCACATAGCCACACCTACCCAGTCACATGACCACCTGGCCATACCCAGCCAGCCACGCCCACAGAACCGGTAGCAAAAAAAAAAATTGAATCCCACCACTAGCTCTCTCCTATCATCGGCAATCTCACGAGGCAGGCTTAGCTAAGACTGGGTGATTGACAGGTCCAAAATCTCTGGAAGCTTCTGTAGGTTGAGGCTGGACTAGAACCTGCAGCTCCCCAGGTTCCAATTCCTTCGCCAGTAGACCGCCATAGCTTTTGAAGGAATTCAACTTTCTGCCCATGTATTTATAGTTTGATTCATAGGTTGGATTATCAAATAATAATTACAAGGTTGGACGGAAACTTATCAAAGAGAGATTGAATCAAGAATTAAGGAAAATATCCTGATAGTTGTTTTTAAAAACATATAACTATTTTGTGGAATTGTTTCCCTCCAGAGGTTGTGGGTGCCCCATCGCTGGAGGTTTTCAAGAAGAGACTGGGCAGTCACCTGCCTGAAATGGAATATAGGTTCCCCTGGTTGAGCAGAGGGCTGGACTAGAAGACCTTCAGGGTCCCATTCAATTCTGTCATTCTGTATATAGCAATCCTTCATTCAACAGTACTAGCTGTGTAAGGTAGACAAGGCAGGGAGAGGCTCACAGACATCATGTGAGCTTCTGTAGCTGAAAGCAAAGTTCTGGAGAAGGAAGCTGGGTCTCCATGGTCCAAACCTTTGTTGCTACGCTATCCTAATTGAACAATTTAAACCAATTTAAAAAGCTGTGGGATTATAAGCATCCCTTGGGAATCTATCTGATCAGTCACTACGGTATCTTTAGCACATTCCAAGCTTATCTCACAAAGATTGTAACTGAGGCAACTGGGTTTTCTGGACATGAAAATCCTCTATTGGAGAGCGTGATTGATGACACCCAGTCCACGAACGTGTTTCATTGGACAATCTGAATTATGATACACCTAGGGGGTGGGGGGAAAACAGGGTCAGAGGTGATTGGAAATCACGTGTCTCAGAGTCGGCTTCATACAGGTCATGCTGGCATGTCGCTCCTAATAAACCTTTTGAAGTTTTTTGAAGTTTGGCTCGAGCCTCATGATTTAATTAGGGCAATTGCTGGAATCCTGACAGCGGCATTCTTTGTGTCTCCTTTGCAGCTGGCCCTCCACTTACAATCTCAATTGAGCCCAACATTTCTGTTGCTAAGTGAGACACTGGTTAAGTGAGTTTTGTCCCATTGGACAACCTTTCTTTGCCACCGTTGTTAAGTGAATCACTGTGGCTGTTCAATTAGTAGCACGGTTGTTCAGCGAATCTGGCTTCCCCATTGACTTTGCTGGTTGGAAGGTCGCAAAAGGGGAATCAGGTGACCGTAGTAAATATGAGTCGGTTTCCAAGCCTCTGAATCTTGATCACGTGACCATGGGGGTGTTGTAATGGTTGTAAGTGTGAAAAATAGCCATGGGTCACCTTTTTTTCAGTAACTTTGAATGGTCACTAAACAAACTGCCGTAAGTCAAGGACTACCTGTATTTTCATTTCACCCGCTTGGAATTCAAGGTGTATATTTGGCTTCTGTTTCTCCCCACAGAGCGATTGGAGCCAATCCCCTCCACTGTGACTGTCACATGCAGTGGCTCTCGGACTGGGTGAAGTCCGAATACAAGGAGCCGGGCATTGCCCGATGTGCCGGCCCAGGAGAAATGGCAGACAAACTCCTTCTCACCACTCCCTCCAAAAAGTTCACCTGTCAAGGTACGGAATAAACAATTCCATAATCTGAGTGCAAGTGCTATTCAGGCAGTTCAAAGGAGTGAAAAGATTCATTGCAAGCTTAAGCTCTCTACAAGAATCTGGCCAACTAACTGCCAAGGGAAATGAGCGGGAGATAAGGAAGGCATTCATGCTGGGATGTCAGGTTTCCAAGTAATGAAATCCATTTTAAAAGAAAAATAACGAAGTCCATTTTCAAAAAGATTTCTTTTATTTAAGAAAGCATCAAATTGGCAAAGTCCATGGTAATTCCGGATCTGACCAAACCCAGAATTACCCCACAATATTAGAAGTTAAAAACACCCCCCAAAAGTCACATTCTCCAATAGAAGTAATTCAATGTTGCTTGATGTCATAAATCTCCACCTCCAGGGGCCCAAGCAAGGACAGCTCGTTTCCCACGGGAAAGAAGATCACCTAGTCATAACACTATCTTTTTCTCCACTCCTCCCCCCCTTAGGAGTGTGTCAAGCCCAAAACCCTTCCCCCCATGACTTCCACAGAATAAGTAAGAAAAAGAATATATAGTAAGACAAACTAAAATGGCTACACTTAAGTCAGTTTCGGGCTTGACAGGGTGGGACTTCGATCTCTTGTGGAGGTGAAGGGACTCATGACTTGTAGCACATTTGACCCCTCCTTCAGGCTCAGCCTGGTCGTCTCCTACAGTCTAAGTGACAATTGTCATGAAAGGATCTACAAGGAACATTATTTCAATATGAGGGATAAATAGGGGGGAAAAGAAACCCGTTAAAGTAAAATTGAGTAAAGTAAAATTCCAAAATAGAGATGTGAAAAGGAAATTGATCTGGGAAATGGTTACTTTTTAACAGCCCTAAGCAATTCACCCGAGGGGCAACCTTATTAGTTCAACCCTTTTGACTCCCTATGCCATCCACAGAACTTTCTCCCTCCCCTTGAAACGCTGCTCAGCTCACCCTGTGAGACAAGCCTGAATCCCATCGTAAGTCTGGCCATTAGAAGAGCTCACCTGGCATTGGGGTTCACCAGGAGGGCCCCAGAAGCTGGTAAGAAGACCAGAAGGCCTGCTGAGATGATGATCAGTGAGGACAGGGCTGGTTTTTGTAACACAAAGAACTCTTTTGTGCTTCTTTGAAGGTCCGATGGATGTCATTGTCCTCGCCAAATGCAGCCCCTGCTTATCTAACCCTTGCAAAAACGGTGGGAGTTGCAACAATGACCCCGTAGATTTCTACAGTTGTTCCTGTCCTTACGGCTTCAAGGTATAGAAGATATTCTTTTAAAGAAAAATCTGTGTCCTTTAATTAATGCGCTAGTTGTATCTTTTATACGAGCGAGTCACTCCGTTCATTCCTAACTCCTGGTTCGGTTTCGTTTCGGGGTGCAGTCTTACTTCAGGTTCCTCCTTCTGGGCTTCAGGTGCTCTGGTTTCATTAGATAGAAAGATACATTGGCAGGACTGATGGGTTGTGGATGTGGAATCTACAGTGTGTTTCCATTTGAAAAGGGTTGCAGGAACTGGGCCTGGGTAGTCTAGGGAAGAGAAGGACCAGGGGAGACAAGAGAGCAACCTTCCAATATTTGAGGGGCTGCCAGAGAGAGGAGAAAGGGGGTCAAGCTATTTTCTAAAGCACCCGAAGGCCAGACAAGGAATAATGGATGAAAACTGATCAAGGAGAGATTCAACCTAGAAATAAGGAGAAATTTTCTGACAGGGAGAACAGAACAGAAGGTGCCTTCAGAAGTTGTGGGAGCTTCATCCCTGGAAGCTTTCAAGAAGAGATTGGACTCCCATCCGTCAGAAATGTAGGGTCTCCCACTTGGGTAGGGGGTTGGACTAGATGACCTACAAGGTCCCTTCCAACTCTGATTGTGCGTTATCTGAAAAGAAAACTCATTCCCCCACCCTTATTTTTCTGTACCATGTTCGTTTGTTTACTTGTAGGGTCGAGACTGTGAGGTTCCAATCCACGGCTGTATCAGCAGCCCGTGTAAAGAAGGGGGGACTTGCCACTTAAAAGAAGACGAAAAGAATGGTTTTTGGTGAGTTAGAAAAAAATAATAACATACAAAAAGGAAGTCATCTACCCCTAGTACGGAATCTGTGCCCACTCTTTCCTTCTCCCGGTAACAAAGTAGGTGCTGTATATTGATTTCCAAGTCTTTCATTCAGATAAATGAGCTTAATGCACTTAGAAAACTTTTCTTGCTGTCAATATGTCATTTTTAGTCAGGGGATAATGGGGAAAGATAACGTGATTTTTGCCTCTTGTTATCCTAACTAACAGCCGGCTAAATTCTTCTTGAAAGTCTGACAGTTCCAAGGCTTTGCTTTGCCTCCTATCAAGCAGCTTGTAAATGATCAGATGCAAATCCCAGGGAAACACAAAATTAACGGTGCATTTCCAGTCCAGCACCCTACTGGGTGAAACATGCTGTGAGCATTTTTAATCTACAGGTTTTTTAATCACAGAATGCAGGCCCTCCAGATGTAGCTCTTAAATTATGGAGCTAAGAATGGTAATAAATGGGTCCCATAATTCCATAATAAAAATTCTGCTGGCTTGTTAGAAACGATTTTGATTTCCCCCTATTTAATAAGCAATTAGCTTTCTTTTTTACACACAAATTACAAGCAACGGCTGGATTGATTTCTCTCTGAAATTAATTTGAAACAACTTAATATGATAAATGGCTGTTTGAACCACAACTTTATAGGGGAAAAATGAATAAGTGGCACTCCAGAATACTTGTGGTGGAGAGATGAATTAAGACATATATTCTGAACAACAGTTATAGTGATTGCCATAAATGCATAGTCACTGATTTCCAATTGAAGCAAGCATGAATAAGTAATTATTACTGTGAAATAATTAATACAGTAAATTATGTCCCAGAGAAACTAAATTTGTTAAGTAATACACATGCTTCTGCATGCATTTATTTCATAGCAGGCAAAAACCCTTGAAATTCATAAATGAGTCAAACATTTGCAAAATACTTTCCACCCATAGCACTCAAAATGCCCCTATTTGCCTTACAAATTTCAGTAATTCAGAAATTAACTTGTAGCGTAGTTTCATTTGAGCATACTTTATAGTGGAAAGATTGCTTAAAGAAATTCCCCAAAATAAAAATAGCAAAACGGCACTTATAATCCCTCTTTCTCCACAAGAGAATTTCTTTGCTTGCTTGAAGCACTTTTAACACTTTCCTTTTGGTTCCAACTCTCCTCCCTTTTTCTATTGGCTGACCTGAAATTCTCTTAATTTTGTAGCGTATCGCATCAAAAAAATGGTTAGGCACATGCACATTCCAAACATCATATGGCCTATTCTTTTGTTTGTTGGAAGAGTTGGTGTGTTTTCTTTTACAGGTGTGCCTGTGCCGATGGATTTGAAGGTGAAAACTGTGAAGTGAACATTGATGATTGTGAAGATAACGATTGTGAAAACAATGCCACTTGTATAGATGGAATAAACAACTACACTTGCCTTTGTCCTCCAGAATACACAGGTATGAAGAAGATCTTACTTGAGTGTATCACAAGCTCCATAATCTGGTATGATCAGCTTGTATGTTAATAAATTTGATCCCTGTTTCTTCTGGTTCAGCTTTCAAAGTGTTCCTTTATCATACCTTCTTCTGCTATTTCATTGAACTCAGCTTTATATCTGTGCAACATAAATTGTGTGATAAGAAAGCTCAGGCCTTATAAAAGAAAAAAAGGTGGAATTTGAAGACCTCAGCTTAACTCAAGGAGAGAAGCAATCTAGAACTAAGGAGGACTATCCTGACAGTGAGAACAATTAATCAGTGGAACAGAAGTTGTAGGTGCTCCATCACTGGAAGTTTTAAAGAAAAGACTGGACAACCATTTGTTTGGAATGGGCTACTGCTTGAGCAGGGGGGGTTGGACTAGAAGACCTCCAAGGTCCCTTCCAATTCTGTTATTCTATATCAGAGGTCTCCAAACTTGGCAACTTCAAGATTTGTGGACTTCTACTCCCAGAAGTCTCCAGCCAGCTCTGCTTAAAGTTGCCAAGTTTGGGGACCCCTGTTCTATATTCTAAATAGCTTACTTAAATAGGACTTTTTCTTGGGGAGGGGGGATGTTGTATAGATATAGTTTCAAATTTTGCATGGTGATGTCATCAGACCCGAAATATGTTGCTGAATAATGCACCATACATTTTTTTTTTATATCTTCTGCAAACCTCACCTCCTTTTACATTCACACCTAATTCTGGGCCATTTGTAAAATAGCAGATCTAATAAAAGATTGGGGGGGGATGTGAGAGGCACCTGTTTCTTCCTTGATGAGTATGGACTTTATCTCACCTGAGATATAAAGTACTGAAGAAGCTTCTTGGATGAGAAGCGAAACGCCTTCAAGGAATAACAGAGCCCAGGTACCTTTTGGAAAAACACCTTTGGTGCTTGACCTCTGACCTTTCTGCCCATAGAAGGCTCCTGCTGTCCATTTCCTGTTGTTTGGACAGCAACTGAGCCTCTTAAAATCCGCTCATCCGCTGCCTGCCCCATTGGTTCAGGATTCTCTACTGAGGTTGTTTGCCAAAAGTATTTCAAAAATCCAAGCGCAGCAAGTCCGCTAGTCCCCTCTTACCCTTCTGCTTATTGGAGGCTCTTAAAAGCTCTCTTTTGGCCTTATGAAGTCATTGCCGTTGTAAAAGCCACTTTAAACCCATCCACCGCGATTGAAAACCGAATCCAGATTATTTTCCCTTGATCCCACCAGCAATGATCATTTCAAAGCAGCTACGGCTCGAGCAACATTTCCAGCAGGAGAGGTTGGACCAACCTTGCTATATATATATTTTATACTAAAAATAGGTTTTAAGCATTGCAATTTCTAGTCATGTCAGATGGGTTCACGTAAATATAAATGGAGGGTGAATACAACAACAAGAAGAGATGATGAAGTACAACCAAAGCAGTGGTGGCATTCAATATTTTTTTTACTACCGGTTCTGTGGGTGTGACTAGGGGATTTGGCCATGTAACTGGGTGGGTGTGGGTTTTTTGCAGCACACACCCCCTTCTCATTTTTTGGGCCTTCTGGGCCTCAGAGAAGCCTCCTGGGGGGAGGCATTTTTGCTCCCAGAAGGCTTCCCTTGGGCTCAGTCAGGCAGATAGGAGGGGCATGCAGTACCCCCACACTTCATTTTGGGGGCTCCCTGGGGCCCAGAAAGGCAAAAAATGGAGGGGGTGGGGGGACTGTGCCCCCCTATATTTTTTGCCTTCCTGGGCCTCAGGGAAGCCTCCTGGGCAAAGCAGTAAGACAGTGAGGGGAATTCTGACACAGCTGATCATAGGAACAGCTGATCGTCGGGACAGGGGAAAAGAAATACTTTAAGGAGTGACTAGGTAGGCGAGCATCAGGTGGGCAGGTGGGGCAAGCGAGTGAGCAGCGACCGGGTGACCGGGTCAGGAGCGTGACCAGCCAGAAGTTACTACCGGTTTGGCGACCGACACCAAATCTTTGCTACCGGATCGCCTGAACCGTTGCGAACCTGCTGAATACCACCATTGAACCAAAGATAGAACAACGCTAACAAAATTGGAAAAGAATAGACAGAACAGTGAGTAACATTTGTAGAAAGTAAAACTATATCCATCAAGGGTTAATGTATAATTAACTCACCTTTCACATATTATTGGTTATATGGACAATCTACTGCTCAATCTAGGTTTGGTACACTGTGTTACTTCACTGCAATGATATTTATGTAAAATACTTCAATTTTACATATTATGGTGCCTTAGAGCGTTGAATGTAGATAAGGTAAAATGGATATTCTCTCACTACTAATTACAGATTTGGATATTGATGTTGCACACTTTATGATTATTTCACTTATCAAAATTAAATTTAAGGTTGGAAATGAAAAAAAAAATGAAAGGAGAGCAGTAATTTGTTTTATAATGAAGGCTTGGTTCTGAAGCTAAATTACCTGATATTAAACTCTCCATCTTGCTGTGACATTGTGGTATGTCGAAAATATTTCTTGTTTCATTATTCTTATTATATCATTTTGCACTGAGACGAATGAAACAACAGAGATAAAGAGAGAGAAAAGAGTAGGAAAAATAAACTCACTGAGATACACTTTGCATCTGGATTAGCCTTTTCTGATCAGAGATTTCTGCAGATGAATAAAAGCAATCAGGAAAATAGTTGAGGTGCTTTTGGAATTTTTAATAAAACAACAAGGACTATGGATTTTATTTATTTATTTGAAATACTTAATGCACATCTCTGTTGTAAATTTTAGCAGCCTGCATAATTCCAAACATATTCTTAAAGGAAAGGCAACTTTTTAACAGTGACCTAATCACATGTTTCAAATACAAAGTCAAAAAGTTGGCGCAATCCTTTTTTAACTTATACAGTGATGGAGCCGAGGTTATTCCAAAATTTAAGGTGGCCATTGATGATGCTTTGGGCCTTGTGTAAAGTAATCTAGTCTTCATTTAAGGTGAGTAAATGTAAGCTTGAGGAGACTATGATCAAGTGCCTAATAGGGCCATGGAGTACATAGGGGGACTTTGAGTAGCTGCTCTCCACACAGAGGAGGTTGTGGAGATAAACTGAGGAGGATCCCTGCATATGCCACCTGAAGCTCTCAAGGAAAAATAAGAAATGATCATGGAGTAACAAAATATGAAATTAACCTAGGGATAGGAATTCTCAGAACAGTGCTTCTGAACCTTGGCTGCTTGAAGATGAGTGGACTTCCAACTTGAAGTCCGCCCATCTTCAAGTGGCCATAGTTGAGAAGCACTTCTCTAGGAATCAACACATTCTTACATAACAAATGTTCATGCTGGTTAGCAGCTTAAATACTACATTTTACACCAGCTGAAGTCTCTGGCCGTATTTATGATAGCCGTCAATGGCATATTTTTATCCGGATTAAATCAGCAACCAGATTTCTATCTTACAGGTACCAAAAGGTATCAGTCAAAAGGAGCCATGTTAAAACCAGTAATATTCCTAATCTAAAATCTAGGCCTTTCTTGGGAGAGAATAATCTCACCCTCAATTTAGCATATTCCCAGGTAAGCAATCATTCCTACCCACTGTCTTCAGAATAACAGAAAGAATAACAGAGTTGGAAGGGGTGTTGGAGGTCTTCTAGTCCAACCCCTATTCAAGCAGAAAACCCTATACTGTTTCAGACAAGTGGCTGTCCAATCTCTTCTAAAAAAAAAAGCCCTCCAGAATTGGAGCACCAACAACTTCTGGAGGCAAACTGTTTCACTGATTAATTGTTCTCAATGTCTGGAAATTTCTCTTTATTTCTAGGTTGCTTCTCTCCTTGATTAGTTTCCATCCGTTGCTTCTTGTCCTGCCTTCTGGGGCTTTGGAGAATAGCTTGACCCCCTCTTCTTTGGGGCATCCTCTCAAATATTGGAAGACTGCTCTCATATCACCCCTAGTCCTTCTTTGTACTAGACTAGGCATACCCAATCCCAGCAACTGTTCTTCATATGTTTCAGCCTCCATAATCGTCTTTTTGCTCTTCTCTGCACTCTCCAGTCCTGTTTCATCCGCATTATGCATCCATTTTTCCTGTCTCATCCTTAGAATATCATAAAATCTACATACACATTCCGATTAGTTACTACTTCATCTGGAGCTGAATTTTAAAAATGCAAGGGAAAAAATTCATTTATTCTTTTGATCCCTGTATTTTGTTCTGGTTAGTAGGCTCTCTAGTGTTTCCTAATCTTGGGTAAGATGACTTGGCTTGAATACCAATAGTTTATAAACACAGAATCTTGTGGCACTTAAGAACTGAGTAATGTATATTACTAGACGTTGATCTGTGATCACCTACGTAAAATCAAAATGCAGAATACGAAGCAAATATTCAAGGCTCACTGCAGTATTTATTGTTACCAGTGCCTCCTCCAAAATAATAGTGGGAGACATAGCCCTCCCTCCAGACTGAGAAATGCATCCATATTTATATATTATAGAAATTAAGGGGAAATAATGCATGCATATACATAAATAATAACACAATAGATATCAGGTTCCTTCCTGCCCTCCTGTTATCTAGAGAGAACAATGGTCTTAGTTGAAAGAAACATCTCCCTCTTGAGATGCAGGGGTTGCTATGGGAATATTCTGATAAAACAGGCCACTCTGAGCTACAAGGACACATTGCTTTTGTCTCCATTTATTTAAACATCCCTGTTTCTCTGAAAACCAATTTCCCCCTCACCTACAAGTAGGATATGGGCACAGAACAGCTACCCTTTGCATTGGCTGCCTGCCCTAATGCACATGCTTGTATCTTTGTCTCTGTTGTAAGCTGTGACAAAGGGCGTCACATCCCCCATTCTGTTTCAACTGAGCTGTTTAAAGATTCAATCTTTGCAATTCTTCAGCTCGAGGGTCAGACCATCTTGAGTCAATAGAAAAAAATTCTGGGGAAATTAGCTATTTCCTATAAATTCTAGTTTCTGAATATTGCCATTTCTGGAGTCTAGTTTGGATCCTCTCTCTTTTTATAGAGATGCATCTGCTTCTTTAATGTACAGTGTAGCAATGGATGCTGATAAATGGCTTATTGCCCCATTAGAAAATGGTCAGATGTATGAACATTTGTTAGTAATGGCATACGAAGTCCTATATAGAGTTGTGGCAGCCTAGTGGTTAGAATGCAGTATTGCAGGCAAACTACCCAAAGCCAGGAGCTCGATCCTGATGGGATTCGAGGTTGTCTCAGCCTCCCGTCCTTCCGAGGTGGATAAAATGAGGACCCAGACTGTTGGGGGGTGAGAGGCTGACTCTGCAATCTGCTTAGAGAGGGTTGTGAGCATTGTGAAGCGGTATATAAGTCTAAGGGCTATTGCTAATAGTGTGAGGTCGCAACCAGTATGAGTCAATAGGGCTTGAAATTAGGGTTTAGTTTACTGTGGTACAACCTGGCATTGATGGTGACATGGATGGTTGTCTTTAAGCAACATATGGGACATCTGAAGGACAGGCAGGGTTGATGATCATAGGTTATACATACTGGATTTCTTGCTTGATTGGTTTTAGCTTGGAAAAAACAGGTAAGAACAAGAACTCTTTGGTTTGGTTTTATTTGGAGGTGTTTTTGCTCCACAGGCTAATAAAACTAGTATATAGAGAGTGTCTTTTGAGGTTTAGTGAATGATTGAGTCAATACATTGGATAGAAAGCCCAACAGCCATAGGATGTACATGCAGTAAAGCAGTATTAAAATTTCCAATTCACATAATTAAATAGACATTTTTCCTACATGACTTGTTGTTTTTAGTTGCAAGCTGCTTACCATAGGGCTAAAAAGAAGATAAGAAAATCATTTTTAACAGCAGGAACCTTTGCTTCAAGATAGAAATATAACCAACTCGTAAAATATTCAGTATTTAATTAACAATATCAACAGAGCATTTCAGCTCTGTGAGTTCTCGGCTGCGAAAAATGTATTGAATCAGAAGAGCTGAAACTTTTAGAACATAGAAGGAGAGAGTTGGAAGGGGCCCGTGAGGTCTTCTAGTCCAATCCTCTGCTCAAGCAGGAGACCCTATACAAATAGTTGTCCAATCTGTCAGCTTTGGAAGCCATATTGATACCAGATGCTCCCACGCTGCCACATTTTGAGCCTGGGAAAGTGGGTGGAGGGAATTCCTTGGAGTGTATGTAGTTAGACATAATAACATTCTTTTTCTAATTCAAGGTCAGGTTGTGTTGCGCATAAGTGAAGGGAAGTCCCAAGTTGGGACAGATGGTGATTGGGGCATGTGATGAGATGATGGGTGCAGGGGGTGGATTTTGTAGTTTTTACTTGCTGCAAGGAAGCCCAGAACTTTCAGATTTGGGATTCCCCAGTTGTGCCAGTTTACTCTCCAAAATAAAAAGAACTTTTGAGAAGATGCCTGTCTCGGAGTTATTGGTTGGAGTGGAGGTTTTCTGGAACGCTGACACAATCTTTTCTTAAAAACCTCCAGTGATGGAGCCCCCACAACTTCCGAGGGCAAGCTGTTCCATTGGTTGATTGCTCTCACTGTTAGAAAGTTTCTCCTTCATTCCAGGTTGCTTCTCTCCTTGGTTGGTTTTCCAACCCTGTTTCTCATCTTGCCTTCTGGTGCTTTGGATAACAGGTTGACCCCCACCACCCCAAAATACTGAAAGAGTGTTCTCATGTCACCCCTGGTCTTTCTTTCCTCTAGATTAAACCGTCTCAATTCCTGCAACCGTTCTTTGCTTTGTTGTTCTAGTGAAATGTTTCTAAAGCCCCTCATGTTATTCCCTGCAGTTTAAACTCTGCTTTATTCGCCATTGCGACTCCCAATTTGAATGGCAAGATCATTCGGTGCCTCTTCTAGATGGTTTGTCTTACTCATTATCCTCTGTCCCCTCCTGCCTTCTGCTTAGCCTCCACCCCTTCTTCCTGTGCCAGCGCTGACATGGGCATCTTGTGTGTTTGCCGTGCTAGAAAATTAAAAGAACAAAAAACAAAACAGAAATGCACTGTCACTTTCTCTGCAGTGACTTAATTGCTCTCTGCTGCCATTAAAGTGTGCCTTGCTTTGTTCCCGCTGTGTTGTTTCGGTTGAACGTAAATGTCTCTTTTCTGCCTTTTGTTCCTGCCAGCTGCTAACCTGAATGAGGTGGAGAAAGGTCAGTGGATCTGGTTTCTCTTGTCCCTGTTGTTTCAGTTCCCTCTTGGGTCCATCTTTCAAAACAGGGGTCTCCAACCTTGGCCCCGTGGACTTCAACTCCCAGAATTCCTCAGCCAGTGAAGCTCACCCAGTGGCCAAGGTTGGCTGAGGAATTCTGGGAGTTGAAGTCCACAAGTCTTAAAGGGGCCAAGGCTGGAGACCCCTGATCCAAAGGATGACATTTAGGCCACTCGCCAAACCTGATTTCAGCGCTTTTTGATCTATGATGTTCACATCTACCATCAGATATTTGGATGGGTCTTAAATTTACAGAGTCTCCTAAAACTCTTTTGGGGACATCCTGTATATCCTGGAAACAAGCACTCTTGAAAAGAAATGCCATTGCTACAGTACAGGTAGCTCTCCTCTTGTGACCACAGTTGAGCCTGGAACTTCCGTCGCTAAGTGAGAAATGGATTAAGCGAAATTCATCCCATTTTAGTACCTTTCTCGCCGCCTTGGTTCAGTGAATCGCTGTGGTTGTTAAATTGGTAATTGTTAAGTGAATATGGCTTCCTTATGGAGTTTGCTTGACCCCGGGAGACTTGCAAACATCGTAAGTATGAACCAGTGGCCAAGCTTCCCAATTTGGACCACGCGACTCCATGGTCAAGCGTCTGAATGTAAGTCACGTCACCATTGGGGATGCTGCAATGGTTGTAAGTGTGAGAAATGGTTGGAAGTCACAGTTTTTCGGTCCGTTGTAACTTTGAATGGTCACTAAGAGAACTGTGGTAAGTTGAGGACTACCTGTGTGTGGGTTACCAACATGAGAAGGTCCTTAAAGTATGAATTAAAAGGGAGTGTTGTTTGTCCCAGGTGTTGAGAAGGGGAAATAGGGCATTTGGAAGGGAAATTCTTCTGCTCCGTTTTGCGCCGTTCCAGCCGGGCTAACTCTCTGCGCTTTCTTTCAGGGGAACTGTGTGACGAGAAGCCGGATTTCTGTGCTCAGGACCTGAATCCTTGCCAGCACAATTCAAAGTGCATTCTGACCCCCAAAGGATACAAGTAAGCCTTTCCTTTATTGAATGTTTGTTCTTCCCGGTTCGGTCTTTCAAATAGCGGAGTTGAATCGATGCGGTTCAGGCTGGGCTGCTACTGGTTCGCCACGGTTTCGGCGAACCAGTAGCTAATCCAATGGCCGTTTTATGGCCGATTCAGTGAACTGGCAAATCCCACCCCTGGCTGGCCCCGCCCCGCCCCACCCACCCCAACCCCTCCCAGGAGTCCCCACACGGCCCAATTTGGATCCCAGGTAAATGCAGGGCATGCGTGGAGGCTCGGGGAGGGCAAAAAATGGGCCCATCTCCAGCCTCCAGAGAGCCTCCAGAGCCCGGAGAAGGCATTTTCACCCTCCCAGAGGCTCGAGAAAAGCCTCCGGAGTCCGGGGAGGGCAAAAAACGGGCCTCCTGCCATGGTGCAGGAGGCCGACTAGGCCACGCCCACCCAGCAACTGGGGACAGAACCAGTTGCTAAAATTTTTGAAGGCCACCCCTGATGGGGTTGTGTTGAGAAGTAATCTTGCAGTCCAGATTTAATCCTTCCTTCCTTCCTTCTCTTTCCTTTCCATTGGTTTTGACAGAGCTTAACTGAAAATACTCTTATTAGGGTACAGTAGAGCACGGTGTAGTCAGTCCTCGAATGAATGACCAGAATTTATGTCAGAGGTCCCCAAACTTGGCAACTTTAAG